TGCGGGTACTCGCACGCCGCGCCGCCCGCCGCCGCGCCCGCCATTGGTTTGTACCTTTAAATAATCACGGGTAGTAATAAAAGCTCTGATAAAAAGAGAAGAATTGTCCTTACTGAAAATATTAAATCTACTGCCTAAAATACTAACTTTCCGACTACTTTTGTCCGAATAAAAATGACGAAACGACCGAATGAGATACTGAAATCTTCGAAAAATAAACATGACTGTTTATTGCTATAATACTAACCTAACCTAAGTTAAAACGTCTGTAGTCGGTAACTTACTAATCTTGTCGGAGGTTCAATATTCTATTCGGAAGTTTAGTTTTGTTATTCGAAGATCCATTTTTATAGTCGGCCACAGATCGGTGGAGACTAATTTGTTTTTCGGAACCATTATTATTTTCCAATAATTACCAACTATAAAGTCAACAATTCTAAAAAGTGACAAAACGTTAATATTGTTCTCATCTGAATTTGATTTGAATTCAAATTTTTGTAATAACTATCGTGAGACATACTGATTTAACTAAACATTGCGGGTTACTCACGTGAAAAGCTCAATTAGTTTCGAGCCACAGAGGGGCTCTTTCTCATGAGCAACGTGCGCGCTCTTGGCTATGTCGCGCAGCCTACCGACAATCAGCCTTTTTTAATAATCTCACTATAATTTATACACTTTACACAAATTAAACATTACACACACATGTACAAAAATTATTCAACAATAAAATTTCAGTACTAATTAGAAATTTTTCTTTACAGCATCACACGTGGTTCCAGCAGCGAATTACAAGACGATATCAGCCATAGTCCCGAACATGTGCAAGTTCTACCCAAACTGCGTGAATCCAACATGTCATTACTATCACCCAAAGCCCTGCCGCTACGGCAAGGCCTGTATCAACAAATTAGAATGCAATTTTTATCACGCAGATGTACCTGCGAAATGGAGATACCCTGTGTAAAATATATTGTCTGATTAATATTATTATGTGGTTGTTTTATTGTTGTCAAATATGGTTGTAGCTTCTAGACCTGCCAGACCAGGGAAATGCACACTTAATCTCTTCGTGTTGGTTACAATTTTGTTGTATTCTGGTGAATATAAAAACGGCCCTTGTGAATCTCTAATCCACAGTAGCGACTTCTCGTGATTACTAATAGTTATAAATACTGACAATCTGTAAAACTTGATTTGCAACTAGTAAGAAAAAGTGCAATGCTAATAGCAATTAATTTAATGTCTAACGATACATACAGACATACCTACTTAGTTACTATACATAACATCCCTTAATCGGACCGACAAAAAAAAAGTAACTTTTCATGGTTTAAACTGTCAAACGCCAAGCGGTCACCGGTGACCGCAACCTATTGTTCTATAATTGTGTCTATAATGACGGTACTCGACGAGTTAAGTGTAAGTTCTTGTATTATGTTAGATAGCAGTGTAACTACATAAAAAACAATATAAATTACTGAAACTGAAAAGAAAACAATTTTTTCGTGTGGGAAATTATTTCCCTTTGCCCGATTACGTCAATACATTTTGATAGACTAGTAACTTACCCTGACTTTACTTTTGAATTTATGTTCCTCAATCCTCAAATAAATATGCACCAAGTCGTTTACTTGTGGAGAATCAGTGTGTAAACGAGGGATTCAATAAAATAAATCGGTAACTAATCAAGAATATAATTAGGAAAAAAAGAGATTGGGGAGTTGCCATTTAAAAAAAATATACGACTAAGTACTTATGACGGGTGGGAACATGGTGGGAAAATAATTCCCTGTGCCCGATTAAGGGTAGAAAGTGCGACACCGAATATCTAACATTAAAAACTAAAATAATCGTTATATTATACGACAAGTGTGAACGCTTCTCAAAAAGAAATGACTGGAACACCAAAATCTGTTCCTCTTACACACCTCCCAATAACATAATAGGGCCACAATAAGAAAATTATGGACATTAGGCACGTGTGACCGAATTCGGTGCAAGGCCGACCAATTTATTCCAATTACCTACTTGAATGCGTTTAAAACAGTTCCTTTTTATTTTTCTCAGATAAACTTATTAAGAAAGAATAGAAAATATGTATGATGTATGTATCTTAAGGTTACTTTTGCTATATTCATCAGGATTTTTTTAATATTCTTCAATACTAAGTACCTTTCTTTGAGGGAGGAATTGGGTTAGGGCGAGAAAGAGTGTCAGACTCTTACTGACTAAATACCACCCCTACCCCTGCTTAACCCGTTAGCCCTTCCGCGGCTCCAATACTAAGTACCTTTATTCTCGATCGTTGATGATGATAATCAATTGGTTTTAGGAAACTACACAGTCATCAGTCATCACAGTGACTTTATAAAACTGAGTTCAACAAAAAATGAGATCATTCTAGTACACTAGTTGGTCTTAACTTTACAAGACTAATCACCGAATGTTGCCCATCATCTTTAACATTTTCACTGACCTAACTCTGATCCCCAAGCCGCCTGCCAAGCATGAGTATCTCACATGCAGTACCGGCGTTAGGGTAGGGCGCGGTTGGGCGACCGCCCAGGGGCGCCGGACTTTAAGGGGCGCCGTGAAGCGGCGCCCCTTTATATTCCCATCTCTGTAAGTGAAAAAAAAAACGATGTGTTGGCAACACTAGAATGGAACGCAGTGCTCAATCCGTTCATACAGTTCATTTTACTGGGAATCCCCGACCACAGAGAAACACATTATCTATCTCTTTTTAACATTTTAGTTCAGAAGAGTTGACGTTATTTTTGATGGAGCGGAACACAGCTCATTCTTATTCATTCAATCGGTGTACGCACTTAAAAACAGTTATCGTAATTACATATTTTAAAACAAACAGACGCAGTAATCAGGCGGTCCACGCTAAGTCACGAAGTGCATGTTTTTTACTTTTTGTCGCCGACTACAGAGTGACATAGGTTTTATACAAAAAGTTGAAATTCAAATAGTGTTTAAGTAGGTATTTGCTTCATGACGGATTATTTCACTAATTAGGTAAGTACAATTTTATTTTAACTATCTTTACTTATTATACTAAAGAGGTAACATTTGTTTGTTTGTTATGTTTGGAGTGGGGTAATCTATTTAAAGTAAATTATCCATACTAA